TTTGGATGGGAAAAGAGAAATGGCAGAAAGCCAACTGAGCACCAAATTGCACTAGGAACTTCAGTATGAATACTTCTGCTCAGATTCTTGGAGTGAGAAGTGGAGATGGCACCTGAATCTCATTTCTGATGCTGTTCACAATGAACAATGTTGTTTCTTGTTTATTTTTTCCCCTGCAGGCATTACTGAGCCTAATTTGACTAAGTACTCCCACTAATGAATAGCAGCAGGTTCTTTTTCAGAATTTTTCAGAATGTCAGACAAGGCTCTCATTTGCACACTGAGATTATCCAGCTACCTCCTGTGTCTCACACCTCTCCAAGATATCACACCAACTTTAAACTATTCCTCTGCAGTCCAGTGGTTTCTGAATGTGGCCTGTGCCTCCCACATCTGGTGGTTTTGCTGTCTTTGCACAGTGACAGCACCAGCACATGAAATTAAAGCCAAGAACAGCGAATAATTATGAAATAAATGATGAATTACTGCCCAAGTGTGTCATGCGGTTGGCAAGCACTGACTTACCAGGTAGTCCACTCACATCAGTACCGCTAATTACTGTTTAATATGAGCTAATATTTGGCTTGCAGACAGACTGATATTTTGGATAGTTCATGACTTAAATAAAAGAAGGAAACCCACAAAAAGATGACTGTCAGTGTTTGTTTACAGCTGCTTCTCCCAGAGTGACACAGAATAATGGCCTGCCTCCTCACACCAGCATTCATATGGGTTGTAGCCTACATCAGCCTGCTATTAGCCAAATAAGCATCCTTGTTGTGTCACTTCCATCAGTTTTAGAAAAATCAGTGCAGGAGGACTTGCTTAAGACTGTTTAGTCCTGAGTATTATTGAGGATTTAGAGGGTAAAGAGAAGAGACTACTGCATTAGGAAGTGGAGCCTGAGAACTGTGGAAGAGGTCTTTTCCTTACAATTTCAGGGCATCTGCACCTGCCATTTCAGGACAGACAGATAAGAACAGATTCTCAGTTTCTGCAGAGAGGTTTGTTTGAACCTCTGGAACTCTCCTACAAAGTCTTTCTCTGAATATAGAACTACCTTGTTAAGATTTGCTAGTAGAATGATTACCAATTCCTTTTATTTAAAAATATTATTTTTTGTTTGAAACAGAAGCATAATGCAAATCTGAAAGCATTAAAGCCAGTCAAACTAGATACTGAGGTAAGATGCCATCATTTTAGTAAAAAAACCTTTCATATTTTTATCTTGTCTTAAGAATGTGCTTTTAAGTGCCATAAATATGGTCACCATTTACAGGAACAGGCGAAAATTGCAAAACTTGGATTAGAATTGCATCTGCTAACATCTGATGTGGATTCTGAGACAGAGAAATGGGAGGATCAAGAGAATGAGATTGTGCAACATGGGCAAGGCATGTCAAGTATGGCCTACTCCATGTATTTATTTACCAGGTAATTACACTGCATGTGGCAATTTTTGGTGGGAAAAAGAGCATTAACAGTGTTTATAAGAAAGAACAAATTTTCATTTTCAGAGCATAATAATTGGGACCCATTTAGAAAGGAACCTGAATCTGTCCATAGGCTTTATAAATTTTAAAACTAATTATAAGCTTTATAATTAAAAATATAATAATAATTAAATAAAATTAATTATAAGCTTTATAATTTTTTTTAAATTTCTAAGCTGTTTAAAAACCCTGTAATTTTAAACCCCCTTTTTATTTTTAAAGGACTAAACATCTGTTTTGTTGGAGGGCATCTATTTAAATGTCTCTTGAGTACAGAAAAAAAAATTAAGAACTATTTTCATAAATACTTTGAAAATTAAGGGAATTAAAGCACAAGTATATACTTGTAGATGAGCTATAACTGTAGATGAGAATTACTGATCCTTGCTGTACTGAAAAGTGTTTATCTGAAACTTGCCTTTGCAACATCAGCTTTCTTACTTGAAGAATTTAGGTTTTCTTGGTTTGTTTTTTTTTTACCAGAGTTGAGATTTTTTTTGTTACCTACTAGTCCAATAATACTCAGTATGCCAGAGACATGGATTTCTAGTTTTGTTCAGCTTATGAGAACTGAGCCATTGTTAATTCCCCAACAGTGCTGTAGCTACTGAGGTGTTTGTGTAATATTATTAATGCAGTTCCTGTAGGTAGTTATTGTTGTGTCTACTATCTTCTAAAAGACTGATATTTACAGTTCACTGGTGTGAACTGTAAAATGTTCAGTGGTGAGACTGTAATTTTTGTAAGTAGCAACCAAAATAATCTGCAGTCTATAAATGACATATCTCCTGGTTTTGTTATTTCCCACAGAGGAGAAGGACTTCTGAAAACTACTCAAGATTTATTTCATCAGGCAGAGGTAGTGTATTTTTAACAAAATAAGACATAGACACTCTGAGTGAAGCCAAACAGGAACTTCAGTGTCTGATTCCTTACACATAAGTACAGTGTACAGTACATGAATTGACTGGCAGCCATAAATTTTGAGCAGTCTAACTCTGGTACATATTCTGAAAGTGAGCTTCCCAGTGTTCCAGTTGTAGCTTCAGACAGGATCATTACACTGATAGATTCCAGTTAGGAGGACGGATAGCAAACTGGCATTATGGCAAATACAGTGGACTTCAACATATTTGTAGTATTTGTTGTGTCACTCAGCTCAGTCCCTGGTAGTGTTAACAAATACTAAATCCTAGCCTGAGCAGCAGGATTTTCATGGGAAAGAGAGAAGATGTAAAACTTTGCACAATGCGAACAGAAGACAAGGGTCCAAATGAAGGGATGTGGGATGCTATTTCCAGGAGGCATGCCTGTGTAACAGGAGACTAGTTACCTTTGAAAGGACAATAAACAAACAAGGGCAGGTGTCATCTACCCCCAAAACATTTGGGAGCTGCCACAGTGCAAAAAATAATTGGAAGTTGGGGGGTTTGTTATATGTAAAGGGAAAGCCTTTTGTCACCTTTAAACTCTGCTTATCTGTGAGGATGGCAGTTTGTAGTGTAGCTTGTTATTTCAGAAGTCACTGCAAACTGCTGACTTGTTATAATGGTATATGTCTGTAATTCACAAGTATTTCCTGCTACCTTTCTACTTAAAAGCACACTATTAAAAGAGGAGGGGAAAAGCCTTACCTTCTGTTGTGGTTTATTTTGTTACATGCTTTTTCTTCCTTTCAGATTTTTGCTACAGAGGGCACAAAGCTTGCTTCAGCTCTTCATGCTCTTTCTGAACAGGTAATGTATCTTACGACATCAGTGATGCTGCTTAGAAGTTGCTTGTGCTGTCTTTTCCCTTAACTTAATGTTGGAGTCTTTAACACAGAGTTGTTTTGTCTTCCTGGACCATGTACCAGGTACATCATGATGAGAAGCCTTTGCTTCTCTTGGAGGCTGAAAAACTCATCTCTATGTGCAAGCAGCTCCAGATAGCAGCTAAAGCTTCTGCTCAGGGTAAAAGTGCTACATTTACAAAGGTAAGATAAAAATTATATATATATGTCTCAAAGTAACACCTACCTTGTTTCAAGATAAAGTAATTTACTAATTTATGCTCCAGTCAAAATATGGAACTAGTCTGTAGTGGTACTGTAATCCAATAGAACTCCATTAAGATAAACAGGAACTGTAATTAAGTGCACCTCAGTATGGACTTCAGGGATCAAAATTTTAATGAAGGTAATATGTATTTCCACTACTGTAATAATTACTGTTATTACTGTTACTGATGCTTAACATGTAACAAACTCCAAACCCCCAACTCCACTACTGAAACACATTTGCTTCTCAGTAGGTAGCATCTACCCTGGACTGCACTGATTTTTTCTGATATTCATATTTGCTATAAATAGCTACATAGCTGCCATGAAAGTTCCATCACTGTTAACACAAGAAGCAGATATGCAAAGATCAGAGGGGATCAGTATCCCTGAGCCAGCAGAGATGAATGTGAGCAAGACCATTTCCATGCACCTGGATGTTTGTTTCCAACTGGCTGTGGAAAAGGCGTTTCAGTTCTACAGCGGGGTGTCAAACTTGCTAAAGCATGCAAGCCACTCAGAACCAAACTGAGCACCTTGGGGCTACTGCATGGTTTCTTTTACACTCTCTAAATTAAATGGGAACTCCAGTCTGTTTATACAGTGATGTATCAGTACACAGCAATAACAGGTTCTCAAATTAATGCTTGTGACCTGTGTTTGAGTGTTAAGATTTAAGATAACTTTGAGTGTAACATCAAACTAAGGCTTAGATGATGCATGACTTTCTAAATCATGCTGGCAAGACATAAAACAAAAGGAAAACCGTGAAGAATTGTGATTCATACTTAAGACTGTAAGAGTGCCTTTCCAAGAGACTTCTGTTACTGTTTAATATATTTATTACTAGTTCATTCTCTTGGGATGTGTCTGCATCATAGCTCAAGTCATGCTTAACAGAAGGGATGCTCTTGTTTTACATGTACTAGAGAGAAATTTTTAAAAATTTAGGCAAACCCATTTGATTAGGAGATATTTCAAAAGGACAAGTATTACTTAATCTAGCTCAAAGCAGATCACCATCTCATGCCAAAACCAACTGCCTAACACAAGTATGGAGTATTAATTTCTCTAGTATTAATTATCTTGTTTAGGTTGATGCATGCATTCTGAAAACAAGGAATGTGATGACTCTGTTATGTCAACTTCTTCCACTTTGCTGCAAATTACTGAGAAAGGTAAGTACTTGCTTAATCTGCACTATTTAAAAGTTTTGGTGTTTGTTTGGTGGGGTTGTGTTTGTTTTTAAGAAATATTTGTTACATACATACACAGAATAAAGCAGGAAATGATTGTCTTAAGCCTGCTCCACCATGGAAAGAAGACAGAATACGAACTGGTACAAATGCACGTACTTCAGAAAGAAGAGTGGACACATTTGGCATCAAGTCTTTAGAAAATCATGTAACAAATATGACGTTTTTAGACAGCAAGTAATCTTAGCACTGAGAAATGCAGGAACTCCCATTTGAAAATGTAACACTTGCTGAAGTTTCAATACTGCTTTCATTTGTGGAAAGTCAAGCCAGGTTAATTTGATATAAAACTGTTGACCTTTGTCACATCTAATAGATGTCCCATTACTTAGCCATTAAAACACCAGCTAATCTAAATGTTCTGTATTTTTATAATGTGAATGCCTTTCCTATACTCACTATTGATACCGATTTTGTAATTAATGCTTATGAATGTCTTAATGGATGTGTCAACCCAAAGATGCTGCTAGTAGACATTTTATGTAAAGACCCCCGTGCTGCATACATTATATGTAACACTACTGTTGAAGTCTGTAAACTCATCTCTGGCCTATTTCAGTCTATGTATTTGATAAAGCAGAATCAGGAATATAGTCTGAAAGGCTGTGGCCTGAAGCACTGAAATGATACCTTAGTTACAAGTTATACCTGCAATGAAGTAGTCCTAGGGAAAAAAAAAAACCTCTTTCAATAGCTGCATTTTAATCTTGATATGATTCATCTCTACAAAAACTGTATTTTTAAGTGATTAATAGTCTTAACTCAAACACTTTTTCTTTTACCCTATTTGTAGATGGCAGTTGTTGCTTTCTTTTTTATTAAAACTTAGTGAGCAGAATCTGAATTGCCTGTAGAACCACTGAAGTATTATGCAGACTTGACATTATGCCATCTAAAATTGAAGAAAATAGATACTGATCATTACAAATTCTGTACAAAGGGCATTATTTGACTTCAGGATACTACGAAAGTACAACTTGGTGTGAAATATGTATTGTCAAGTTTATCTGCTCTTTGTACATAGGCTTTTGTTGCATTTTTATTTTCCATACACCTATATTGTATTAGTTTAGCTAAATTACATGATAGCTAAATGCTATGATTTTTCTGTATGTACTATGCTTGAATTAAGCAGAAGCAAAGCTGATTGTGGAACATAAATTATCTCCAACATGTCATTCTGAACTTATTTAAAAACCTATAGTGCTAGAATTCAGAGAATAAGAAATTTTATATCAAGTTTTTACAGAAATTTTAATATCCAAACTACTTGAACTGGTTTATTCTTTTATGAATCAAGGAGTTTAGTTCCACTTTTAAAATCTGGCACTAGGCCTTTCCAATACTATAAAACTCACAGTGTACAATAAAAGTCACTTATTTAGTATCAAACACAGACGGGAAGTGTAGAATTGATTTCATGAAGCAGAACTGCGGCGTTTCAACAAAACTTCCTCATACTCCTTCTGCGTCAGAAGTCCCTGAGTTATACTCTTGCTTTCTTCAAATTTGGGTAGAACCACTGCGATGTACCCCTCAGTTGATGGCTAGAAAGTGAGACTGAAGTTAGCAGTGAAATAAAAGCTGAAAAATAAAGAACAAGGAAGTGTCTTACCTTTTCTTGCAGAAGAGCAGGATTACTAAGGATGTTCTCATTCACTTCAATCAACCGCCCTCGTATGCAACTGCAAAAGTGTTCAGATTCTGTAGATGTGTGTGGTATGTCAAGGTAAGAAAAAAATGGGAAAAACCTTACCTGTAAATGGTGTATTCCTCTCCATCTGATGAAGAAATCCTGCACAGAGGGGCAAGTTCTGTTAAAAACTGAGCTCCCTGCATTTGGAAAAGAAATAAACATGTCTGTAGTTTTAATTACGCAGGGCTTGTATAAAAGTATTACCATCAGCAATGCCTAAAAGGAAGGATGTGTGACAATTACAGGTCATTCCAAGTTCCAGAGCTGTGCTTCCCTATAGAAGGGAAGATGCCAATTTAGTTATGTGTACAAATCAAACAGAAGCTTGTTACAAGCTTACGGATTTTGTCATAATTAAGTTTCTTGAGACTAGCAAACTTGTATTTTAATAAGACCAAAGTCAGGAGAGAGGAGAGGAACAGCACCATTGATTTTGGTGTAAGCAAGTTAAACCGCATCATCAAAAAAACACCACACTGAGCTGGCCCATCTACTATCTCGATCTGCTTGAAAAAAAGAGTAGTCTCCAAATCCTTTACATCTTTTTAGAAATAAACTTTAATTATTTCAGGGATGTCTATGTCCCTCTGTACACTACCAAAAAAATTACTAGGAGTTGAGTGCGTTTGAGCAACACTGGAAACCACCACTGCTGTAGGAGCATTGCGAGACCCTGGCTGTGACAGGCAGAAAGGCACTTCTTGAGGAAGCCTGAATTCTTCAAGTGCAGAGGGGCTGGTTTTAAATCAAATACTAAAGTAACCTGCTGGGTTTCTATCCAAAAAAGGACAGAAAGATCTCAGGCGGTATGAGAGATTAAAATGAAAGCTAAGGAAATCAAAAAGCCATACCCTTTTTGACTTCCCGGAGACCTTATTCTGGAGTCTGCTACAGTTTGCACTGATTTGGTAATTAATGTTTTTAATTGTTTTCCCACTTTGAAGAAGAGGGTGGGCTTCTGCCAAGGTGATGACACAAATTCTGCAAAAAAAAAAAAAAATATAATTATTCCACTGTAGTTGTAAGAAGCCACACCTTTGTGCTCTAAACAAGTCCCACAACCTTCTCTGACTATCTTACTTGACAGCTGCTGTACAAAACTGAATGAAAATGGCATTCTGACCTAAAACCACTCCCACAGAAAATGTTTCATTTTAAGATACCAGACTGGACTGTCAAAAGCCCTACACTTCTTACTGAAACAGAACCGCTGCTTGTAAATAAGCCAGTGCTGTTCTAACTGTTGTACCCCATGAGAGCATGACTGGTTCATTTCAGCCAGCAGCTGAAGCAGGTACTCACATTAAGGCAAACAAGTAAAGCATGATGCACTTCTGTCACAAAATGTAACACAAAGCAGTGTTTCTCAACAGCTAAAGGCCCTTTGTAGTGAACAGTTACAGCTGATGAATCCATCAGTGACCTGGGCCTTAGTTAACTTGCTGCCTGCATTTCATTATTTTCTAAAGGAGGGTTATTTCTTACCATGACACTGGACAGTTTGAGACAAGCCCAGCTGAAGAAACTAGGCCTTCCTGGCCTAGAACCATGCTTAATGCACAAGCATGAATTTGACAGTAAATGAAGAGTGAAAGCTATTCTGTTTGAGAGTGTAAAACCTACGGCAAGCACCAGAATCAACAGAAGGGTGCAGAGAAAACCAGGGCACAGAACCAGATCTCTCCCTGTGGATGCTGTATCTATCTCCCCACACTCCTCCTCTGGAGTTCTGGCTGCGTATCTCCCACAAGAGGGAGCTGGACTCTGGTGAATGCATCCAGCATGTCCTAGCAGCAAAGCTACCTCCTTTCACCCCAACCTCCTTCTACGGGGAAGATGACAAATTATCTTTGAGCTATCACCTCATGGAGCTGAGACCTGGCAAAACAAAATATCAAGAGACAACTTTACATTGCCTAAAAACAGCAAACTGAGCCACAGCCCCATATGTTACTTTTCTATATATATATATATATATGTTATTAAAATGTTATTTTACCATAACAATAATGGTAAAATACTTTGCAGAACATCTGGTTAAGCTGCTGTGAAATCCAAGGGTCCTGATATTTCAGAATTCAAAGTAGCAGTCTTCATAGACAATTGAACAAATTAATAGGATTTAAACTATTGTTTTTATTAAGACACCCGAGATTAGTAACCTTTAGTATTAAGTACAAATGGAAGGGTGTCCTTCCCTGCTGTTACTGTTACACCTCTTACTTGAAGGTACTCTGGTTTCCCTTTTGAAAGAATTGAGGAAGAACTGCAGGAAATAGCCACAGGGAAGCTCCAACTCCAAAGGTTGCAGTGAGGTTATGGTTCTGCCCTGTGCCAAGCATGCCCTTCCTTTTACTCTGAAATCCTAGAGCAGGCAACTCACCAGGAACACAAATGCCGCCTCACCTTCCCTCAGCCCATGAGCCACTGGCCCTGCCAGTTTTCATGCGGGCAGTTGTTAGGTTCTGTTCTTCCCTCTGGAACTAAACAGAATGCTCCTGATGCCCTAACATCTGCAGCAGGGGGAGATTAGGTATGGGAAGGAGACTCCATACCTTGAGACACATCAGGTACAGGTTGATCTACTCCAAATGATGATACCCAGCTACATCCAACCACAAGCAAGACACTTTCTTATCTTGCCTTCACCATCCGTTAGTGCAAAAATGTACAAGGAAAAGCAATTAAGTTTTATCTAGAGAAAGCTGAATGTTTGTTCAAACTGAAGGAGTTCTAAATCAAGTTAAGCAGACACCTTCAAAATGTCATTACGGAAGGGCCTTTTGGAACGTTGCTCTTGTGCTGCTGATGATCACAGAATCAATTAGGTTAGAAAATACCTCTGAGATCGAGTCCAGCCTGTGACCCAACACCACCGTGTCGCCTAGAGCACGGCACTGAGCGCCATGTCCGGTCTTTCCAGAGATATCCCTAGGGACAGTATATGGGGCCCTGTCAGCAGGAGAGGGTGCAAGGGAGCGAGGGCAGCACCACGGACACTGCTGAGCAGTACGGGGGGGGTGAGCGGGGGCCCTCGGGGAGGAGGAGGCCAAGCCTCACTGTTTCTCATTGGAGCAGTAATTAAAGGATGAGAAGGCAGATTTGCCACTCTCCCACCTTCCCGGACAAGGCAGGCTCGCCCGGTGCTGTGTCCCAGGCCGAGCCTGTCCATGTTCCGGCTGCTGCAGCCACCGCCCGGCGCTGCGGCAGCGCCGAACGCAGCCCGAGGCCTCCCGAGCGCGGGGCCCGGCGGCCAGAGGCGGACCCCGGCTCCCGCCGGCCACTCGCCTGTTGGAGTGCTGCAGCACGCAGAAGTCCTCGCACGGCCGCCCCTTCACGTCTGCAAGAAGGGCACAAAGAGGAGTCAGAGCCCCGCCGCCGCCCCGACCCGGCCCGGCCCGGCCCCCGGCGGTACCTGGCTTGTACCAGCGTGTGAAGTACCGCTCGGCGCCGCCCGGCCCCGCCGCCCCCTCAGCCATGCCCGGCCCGGCCCGGCCTGGCCCGGCCCGCCGGCGCGGCGCGATGACGGCGGGAGGGCGGCTCCGGCAGCGGCGGCCCCAGCCCGGCCCTCTCCCCGCCCCGGCACGGGAAACCCCGAGGAAATACAGCGCTACCTTTTAGTTTTTTGTTTTGTTTTTTTTTTTTTCCCTCGTATCTGCATCGCCGAGAAAAACGCTCCGACGTCTGCGGTTTGGTTCAGTGGTTTATTTTCTCTAGCACACAGCAATACAGTAACAGCTACAGTGACCATATACACACACACACCAAAAAAAGTACCTTAAATTAAAAACAAAACAAAACAAAACAACGACAAAACAAACAACCCCACCCACATTCCATTAAATCATCTTTTAGTTTCCTGCTCGTGGAAAACAGAACGCCCCAGTTTTTCCACAGAGATTTTAATTGCACTGGTGTCTCACTTCAGGCAGCAGGAGAGCCTCTGTGAATTCCATTTCAGCCTTTGAATTCTGTTTCGGCCTGGGCTGTGTTTTATATAAACATAAAAGAGTTGCATTCCCACAACACACCTGGCATCACATTTAGGCACAGAGGATGCAGAGAAACCGTACCAGCACCTGATCCCCACGGGCCAGGCAGGGGAGAACTTGAGAACCTCCACACCTTTGCTCTGACTCCTGCTGCCCAAAGTAACATGACACATCTTATGTACAAATACAGGCCAAAACCATTAGAGGAATATGTTAAAGAAAAAACACAAACCAAAATTGAATCCAGCTCTGTTTACCTGTATCTAGCACAGGCACTAAAGGCAGCTGTAACAGCATAAATTAAGGTCTGTACCATTATGAAGCTACAGACGAATACACAAAGCAGACACATTTATTATCCAGAGTAGCCAGGCACATTAAAAACCGCTGCAGAAAAATATACCCATAAAAATAAAGGGCTACTTAGAGGCTCTGCCCCACCAGTTTGCCAAACAATGAGTACTTCCAACATGAATACATTGCAACAGATGCAGATTCTACTTTATAAGGCTGACAGAGAAATAACAACAAAACAAACCAACTCAAAACAAACAACAACTAACCTTTTTTCATCCTGCTGATACAAAACTACAGCAAGTTTCAGTCTGTAGCCTTCTCAGTTATCAGTTTGGACAGCTGCCTATCATGGACATTTCTCCATCAGTGATTGAAGAGCACTGAATGGGTGGAACATGCTTGTGTACAGGATAGACATTTCTGCCCACATGCTCTAAAGGCAATTCATTTTTCTTATGATTAAATTAGCAATGTGTTTTGATATGTGGATATTTTAATGTCAGTCAAGTACATCAAAAGTCAGCCAAGAACCCACTGGAAACAATTAAATTTGTAGATTTATCTCCATAGTTTAGTCATTGATCTTAAAATCTCTTGAGCAACAGTAGGCTACCTGCCTGCTTCCTGTGTCAAATCCAGACAAGAGAAGTCCAGCTGAACTGGCAGCTATTATGGCTGTAGGCTAACAGAAACCAGCAGTGAAAAATTCAAAGCAAACTGAGCTCATCCAAGTCTGAAATGCCCCAGGACTACAGAGATGCCCCATTTCTGTAGCAGCCAGGATTGCGGTGCAGAAGGTGGAAGCCCCACGGGCTGAAGTACACTGCATTTATGGAGTTTTCCCACACCACAGGTAAACACTGTGCCCAAGCCCTAAAAAGCCCGCTAGGACAGAGGGATGCATTAGGAGAGCTGAAGCAAGTACACCTTTCTCAACCCCTGGCTTCAAAGGAGGCACAGAACAGGATTTCATCACTGTGAGCAGAGAAGTAAATAACAATCTTGCTAACCTGAGGAAAGGCTGAAGGAAGAGCAGCTAATAGTCCACTGGCTGCAAAAACTCCTGTGGAGTTTTTCCTAAAAAACCCTCAGACCTCTCAATGAATTGAAAACATTTATTTCTGCAGTGATAGAATGTTTCTTGGCTTCCATTGTGTGACAGACCAAAAAACTGTTTTAACCTGTCATACACGGTATCATCAAAAATTGCTCTGGTTGTTCAAGCTTTTTATTCAGCTGATGATTTGAATCAGTGGATTAGAAATAGGTTCTAATTGTGTTATTTCTGGGATCTTTAAAGCCAGCTAGTAAGATAGCGTAATTCTGTTTTTTATTCATCATTAAACAACTTTGACATGTTCACCTTTCCTACAAATGCAGAATTTCTTTTGCTATTGTTTTTTTCAACCTTCTTCCTTCAGTGACATTCAGGGCAGTTAAACATATTAAGACTGTAGGCTTAAACTACATACTTAAGTATACACTTATCATCCTTAACACACTGTTTCTCTAGATTATGGTACCAAAGAAATTTTGTTATTTTGGATTTCTCAGCTTTAGTTCTTACAAAAAATATAGCATAGGTTTGTGTGCAATCACACTGAACTAGAAGTAGGCAGCTCTCCCACTCAGCTCATTTTCCCAAAGTAAATCAACACTTTACTTCAAGAAGCTGTTGTAGGAAATGACTGTTTATCTCAGCCTGTAGCACTCCTCCCCCTTGATATCAAACAGGCTTTAATACACCTTTGTCACTTCAGGCAGTGTAAGTGGGATACAACACTGCTTTTAAAGTCTTTTTGATGGAATTCACATATCTTAAAGCTTTGGCAATTTAAGAACTGGACTTTTGTTGCTGATTTGAGAAATCAGTGAAGAGCAACTCCTATCAGAAGGGATGAAACAAGTTAAACATTTGATGTAAACACTTAGAACACAGTTTTATATTAATTTGTTTGGGGTAGAAACCAACTGGAAAAATACACAGGAATCCACAAGCTACTGAGAGAATCAGCACCACCACAAAGGATGGAATGGACTTACCTGCCTTTCTGTATAAACCAGGTGGATGCAGAAGAAATGAGTTTTTACCAAAAAACACATGCTAACCATTCATTATGTCTTGTTCTTGTTTTGCTTTGCTCACTGTGCTTTGTATCCACTGATTCTAACTGCTAAAAAAAACCCCACTGTTGTTTTTCTCTTTAAACCAACAAAACCACAGAAGTAAAAAACATTACATATAATTACATACAGTAAATAAATTCAGTAAAAAAAAACAACCTAACCCCCCAAACAGTACAGACAATACAAATAATATAGATTTGGCCATGTTTTACTAAGTACCACTTTCCACAGTACCATAAGTAATGCTAAATCCCAAGTAAAAAAAAACACAATTAAAAACAAACAAACAAAACCCCAACAAACCCCAAACTTTACAGTGTCCCTTTCAATCAGGCAAGAAGGGAGGGAAGTACACAACAACAAAGCACACCAATAAAAATATCTAGTCTATATCAAATGTACCTTCCCAATAAGAAAATTTGTAGAAGAAAACCCCTACCACTTATAATTTAACACCAAGGTGTCTTCCTGGCAACCAGGATTACAAGTTTATGCTGAATACAATCTTATGTTCAAATACTGAGATAAGCAGCATTATCCCAAAACCCAGGAGAATCCCAGCATTCTGTAACAGGAAGTATCCCCACCGGCTACATCCATGGTCACTGGCATCATTGTGGAGCATTTCAGGTACCTAAACAAACAAGAAAGTGTTAAATGCCTTCAAAAGAAACAATTACTTCAAATCATTAATTAAGCTGTGCTATACAAAATTCAAATAGGTCTAGGCACTTACCATATCCACAAGAGCCACATACATGAACAAGCCAGCAGTAAGTGCAAATATCCACATTGAAACATTGTCTGCATAATGACCAATAAGGATGCCAGTCGCCATACCAAGATAGGCCAGCATAGCTGACAGAGCGTTATAAAGCACAGCTTGCTTGACAGTCATACCAGCTTTTAGAAGGACAGCAAAATCTCCTGTAACAGGGGGAAAAAAACAAGACGAAGTTTTCATTTTCGCCCAAGTATTGCAGTGTTGTCTTATTTACAGTTCTCTTACTTACAGGATTACTAAGCTACTTTTGTGCTGTTGCTTGCCTTATTTATTTTTTTCATTCATAACATAAGAAATCACCGAGGGACGGAAAATTAGAGGGTACGCATGAACAGCACCACAGCAGCAAATACTGTAAGTTTAAAACTTCAAAAGTCTCTGCATTTTTGAAAAACACTGCTTTTTGCTGAATCACAGAACATCCTGACTTGGAAAGGACCCACAAGGATCATCAAGTCTAACCCCTGGCCCTGCACAGGACCATCCCCAAGAGTCACACCATGTGCCCAAGAGCACTGTCCAAACACTCCTTGAATGCTCAGCCTTGGTGCTGTGACCACTTCCCTGGGGAGCCTGTTCCAGGGCCCAAATACCCTCTGGGTGAAGCACTTTTTCCTGATATCCTGCCTAAACCTCCCCTGACACAGCTTCAGGCTATTTCCTCGGGTCCTGTCACAGGGCAGAAGAGATCAGTGCCTGCCCCTCCTCTTCCCCTCATGAGAAAGCTGCAGACTGCAATGAGGTCTCCCCCTCAGTCTCCTCCAGGCTGCAGAGACCAAGTGACCTCAGCCACTCCTCAGATGGCTTCCCCTCAAGGCCCTTCACCATCTTCGTACCCCTCTTTTGGATGGTCTCTAATAGCTTCATATCTTCAAGCAGTTTGAATTTAAATTACCACTGTAAAATGCTGCAGTACCTGATATGCTTGAGTGTTCCTAAAAATATTCCAACTCAATTGCATATTCAGTTTATTATCCTGTAAATGCTCTTTGTACTTTTAATCTGTTTTATAAATTTAAAATAATTTCTTTATTCATTTCTGTAACTGATCCTTGACACCTTATTTTTATTTGAAGGAATGATAAGACCACCAGCCAGAAACAGATTTTCAGTAATTCAGAACATATTTTTTCTAAACCAGAGTAATATAAGCTTATTATTTGAAAATAAAATGGATTCTTTAAAAGTTATCTCCAGTTAAAGTAAACAAAAATTATTTTCAAAGCTGATTTGCATCATTTGTTACAACAGCTTTTCCTACAAGCTATTGCAATTAAGATGAACTGGTATATTAAAAA